TCTTTCAGTCTATAAATTGCATGCTTTTCTATATAGGTTAGTAATGATACGAGGTCTGTAAATTAAGCGATGAGACTGATTTTTAAAATTTGTCTCACTCAAACATAATTACAATTTTATAGTCACAGAAAAAAAGCGCTATGGACAACCAAATGGCTCGGGTGGGTTCAAACCTGTACTGAAGGCGGATCACATGTTCGCCTGTCTCCCCTCTAAGTTTGGCGCCTCCAGTGCTGTCAGATCGAACACTACGTTGTCAGTCATTACCTAATTTACAGACCTCGTATAATTAACATTAAAAATGGGTATTAAATTAATCGAAACCATAACCTTCCGGTTTCAAAAAAGAAAAAAACAGAAACACATGTTTTTAGTTTACCCATTTTGTTAGAATCAAAATAAAATAAAAAGACGAGTACAAAAAATGATATATTAAAAACCCAAAATTGGAACTACAAACAATAAAAAAACTACAAATAGTAATTGCCACAAATGTTGAATATCGTGTCACTATCATTATACATTTGATTATGTATAAAAATAAAACGACAACTTTCTCGAAACTGGAATATAATATACTAAGTGACATATAAATCCGAACACCCAGTTTAAATGGTCTTATTTTAATAATAGTTGGTGAATGTATTTATCTTACTGTAAGTAACAAGTGAAAAAATTTTCAGCCTTATCAGTTGGACATTCCGGTTTTTATACTGCTTTTTTTCAATTCACTAACGCTTTAAAAATAAATATTTCAGCCGCAGTAAAGAATCAACGTTGGCGGATTTTGGTTCTTAACATCCTTTACGATCGGTTACGATGCCTAGAGTACGGAGACCTGTACGATTTCGTCAACTTAGTGAGTTTGATAGGGGCCGTATAGTGGAACTTCGGGAAGCTGGACTTTCTTTTGAGGCAATTGCAGTTAGAGTGCAAAGAAGTGTAGACACTGTGGTTAGGTCTTGTCAGGCATGGCTTCGAGAAGGCCGTACGCAAAGAGCAAGGGGCACTGGACGCCGCCGTAGAACAACAGACCGTGAAGATCGCCGCCTAAGATTCTTGGGCTTAAGGGACCGTTTCTCCACTACCAGGTCCATTGCAAATGAATGGTTTGCAGAACACGGAAGACCTATTGGCATGCGAAGTATTTACCGACGAATGAGAAGTTTTGGCTTGTTTTCATACCGGCCACACTGGGTCCTCCCTTTAACTCGAGAACACCGACGTAATCGCCTTGAGTGGTGCAGACAACGGTCACTCTGGGATCAGGAATGGAACAGTATTGTCTTTAGTGACGAGTCTCGATTTTGTTTAGGCATGCACGATGGTCGTGCCAGGGCTAGAAGGCGATGTGGTGAAAGGAGGAATCCACAGTTTTTTGTTGAAAGACATGTTCATCACACTGTTGGAGTTATGGTTTGGGGTGTTATAGCTTATGGTTCCAGGTCACCTTTAATCTTCATCAGAGGTAACATGAACGCGCAGCGTTATATCCACGAAGTTCTAGAACCCCATCTTTTACCCTATCTTGACACCCTGGCAGATCCAACTTTCCAACAAGATAATGCCCGACCACATGTTGCAAGAGTCACAATAGACTTCTTTCAACATAATGATGTCACATTGTTACCATGGCCATCAAGATCTCCCGACTTATCCCCAATTGAGCACGTGTGGGATATGATGGGTAGGAGATTGCTCAATTTGCAACGTCCTCCTCAGACTCTAGAAGCACTTCGAGAGGAATTGGTGGTTGCCTGGACTGAGATACCACAGGAGGACATTGACCACCTGATCAGAAGCATGCCTAGGCGCGTTGGAGAATGCGTAGCACATCAGGGTGCATCCACACATTATTAAAGGTCAAAGCAGTGCAATCATTTTGAAATTTTTATCATTTACTTATTATGCTTCATTAAGTACTTATACAAAATTTTATTAAAATAAAACCATTTAAAGTGGGTGTTCGGATTTATATGTCACTTAGTATATTTCGGAATGTTTTGCGGTTTTATATAAAATGCCCTTTGAATGAACCATGTATATTGCTCAGTAAACTAGTAGTGATGGCCGGAAGATGGGAGAAATTCTCAAAAACGACTTGACTACTTTCGTTGTGGTTACTTAGAAGTACGAAGCATACGGATTTGAAGAATTTATTGCGTGAAATTATTAGCAGCAAGTGCCAAAACCTTCATTTTGCCTCGCTTTTTGGTCATACCTTTTTTACTATTATTCAGATCTTTTTACATGTGGTCTCATTATGTAGGTCTCATAAATAACTAAAAATCTTATTTGAAGAATTTTTTGGTTCCTGACTGAATCCCGAACAAAAAGTTTTCCCACAAAAATCGGTGTACCCATTTTATGCGTCCATTATTTAAATACCCCCTTGAACGACTTGCATCAATAAAACCAGACTTTATAATTCGTAAACCAGGGGTCGTTTCCTCTAATATGATTGGACTAAAACACTTGTATTTAAAAAGCTTAGAGAGATTGTAATTATTTAACCTTTGATCAACATTTTTATGTTTGTTTTAGTACTTGAATGATTTTTTAAATCCCAAAGTATGCAGTGTTAGCATTTCTGTCCAAAGTTCCAGTATTAACCTTTAGATGAAAAAAATCAAGTTTTCGAAAATGGGCGAAATTTTTCAAGTGCTAAAATGAAAAAAAAAATGCTGAAAAAGATTCAAAATATTTAGATGCTATTAAATACGGCATTATTGTTTTATATTCGATTTCAATTTCCTGCCTGTGTCGGAATCACCCTAAGCAAATCGTTCAACCCATCACTGTTCCTGGGACTATACTATAACTATCTAAAACTGTAATGACTCATCGATGTTCACGTGAACATCACTTAACTACCAGTACTCGGCTGTTCATAGGCGGGGTATGAATGTTTAACATGGGTGAACTAGATTTGTCACATGCTTAATAAAGAATGGTTTGAAACATATTGTCTCATCAGTCACGTAACTAATGTTCGCAGGTTTGTGCTGTTTAATTTTTTCATACAATTCGGCTTTCACACACGAATCGTCAAACGGAATTCCTTTTTCGCGCAACCATTGCTGCATGTCACTTTTTCGAGATCCCATAGTCGGTACACGTTCGGCTCGACGACTATGATAGGAAGCATTATCCATGACGATCACAGAGTTGAGCTCAACTCGCTGAAGCACCCCTTGAAACCAGCTCTCGAAGCAGCTGGCATTCATTTCGTCATGGTAATCACCTCCTTTCTAAGAGACGAAAATCAAGTCACACTCTTCTAAAAAGCCACTATCGCTACCAATATGAGTTACGATCAATCTTTGACCTTTCCCTGACTGTCCACGAAGACCTGTTGACAAACCTTCAATGCTTGCTTGTCGGTTACTCACTACGTTTTTGTCTATCCAGGTTTTTTAACTGTGTGACCTGCATTTACCCATGTCTCGTCCAAATAATAGATTTTTCTGCTTTGTCGCCTATATTCAATCATTTCGCGTAGGTATTTTCGACGCCAGACGACTATTTCAAGTCTCTCTATCAATACTGACTTCCGATTACGCGTTTCGTAACGAAAATTAATTTCGTGCAGGGATTTCCTCATTACCTCGACGCTCATTTGGGGTATAATTTCATTTTCCTTGATCGCTGCATGTACAGCCTTGAGGGTTGGTATCTCATTCCTAAAGAAGAATGAATGTACGGTTCGCCTTAACGCCATTTTGCTATCGTCATCCAATTTAACGGCCTTTCGTCCCTTCAAATTAAACTTTGGATCAGTAGTAGCTCCAGTTTTCTTCTTTTCATGCACCACCCTGCGAATGGTCCACTCTAGAACGCCTGTCATACTTTCACAACGCGCGAGTGCATCTCCCTGCGACATAGTTCTGTTCAGATAATTGAACACGTTGAGCACGATTTCTTTCGCGTCCCTCTTCAGTGCTTTACGAAGCCGTCTACTTGTTCCCTGGCTTTCAGTACTTCCACTCGTGCCATTTGTACTCTCCATGGTTAAGTATAACCAAAACAGTAACCACAGAAACCACAACAATAACAATCACACAACAATTCTTATAAAAACACACAATATGCGATCGCTCAACGAAACACGTTCCAATGCGTTGCCGACGCCTATGAGTCTGCCGGTCGAGGCGCGTCTTTGATTTCATTGGTTCTACCGGCGGAGAACAATCAGCCATTATTTCCATCTCTGTCTGTGCTGTTGACCACTGCAAAGCCACAGAAACGACATATGTCGTACGCTATACGGCTGTACTGGAAGGAAGCCGGGATCGAGCTCTGATCACGTGTTGATCACGTGTATGAGTCATTACAGTTTTAAATAGTTGTAGTATAGTAAGATTTCAAACCGATTGGATTGGCGGCGAGCTTGCGCGGCAATTTTAAAGTACGCGAACTGCGAAAAAGGTTGTCGAGCCATAAGTCCGCCTACTTACCCGCATGTCTATCACCGACTTTAGACAGTGACTAATGGGCAAGTGTCCTCCGCCCAGACAAACAAATGACGAATAGTACGTGTAACTGTCAACGAGCTCCCTTTTTGTTTATTTTTTTGTGCCCTTATGCGGCGTTTGCGTTTCAGAATACAGTTTCTGTTGGAAGAATATAAACTTTATGGTTTTGTCAATGGTTCGGGCACTTACGGATGTTTTGACATCTATTTCAAAAAAGCTTACATTGTAAACTACCAAATCGCTTTTTAGAAAATGAAGAGACGCGTCTTGATGTTACAGTGTATGTGACAGGTATTCTAAGTGGACTATTCTATTAGCCTCTACAGGCTAGTGTCGGCGCTTTATCGAGGGCGAAATCTGAATCCTCTGGACATTGCCAGAAAGATAGATTAATGAAAGTCCCCTTTTCTCTTTCATTGTCGCATTGCCAACAACGAATAGCACTGCTAACCTACATCCTGCATCCGTTCTTCCGATCGTTTGCTATTTCCATCGCCGACTCTGCCGACGCGCCGCGACGCCAGGATGACGTGTACGGCGCCGTCGGTCTCCGTCAACTTGACGCCAGCCGCGAACTCCAGCATCCCCCAGGATCGAAGTCCCGATCGACGGCGCCAACTCCCGGCAAACGCGCGCGGAGTTCGGTCGAGTTTAGTCGCCAACGGCGCGCGAATCGGCCGTATAAACGTTGCGCCAAGTTTTGGAGAAGTCTACGTGATAGATTCATGGTAAGTTTTTAATAATAATAATAATAATAGCTTTATTGTCCAACAGTTTCACATTTATAGGACAATTTATAAACATAATACAAAAGCAAAAGAAAAAGCGAAAAGAATGCAACACAGGTATAAATTTGTAGCAGGTAATTAACATTTGTCGTAAATATGTATAACACAGTAACATCCAATTCTGTTTAAGTTAGAGCACATTACATATAACGGTGACTTGAGAAGAATGTTTGTCCTAGCTCTAGGAAGCCCGAATATTTTATGATTGCGAGATGCAAATGTTGAAGTACGAAACTTGATCTGTTCCAGGATCATGGGGCAATCAATTAAATTGTTGATGATTTTGTAGCCAAATATTATTGAGGCACAGTACCTACGTTTTTTCAAAGTCAACATGTCTAAGCGACTACATAGTTGCTCATTACTTGCACCTCTCTCTGGATATGTCCGATCAATCCTAAACAGAACAAACTTCATAAACTTCCGTTGTACTCTTTCAAGTTTTGGAGTATAGGATGTTTTTTTGTATATTCAAGGGTGTTTAGGTGATGGGATTTAAGCAGAAAAGTTACAGCTGCAAAGATGTGTCCCAGGAGCGAATCTGGAAAGTATTGTCAGGGGGGACTATATGAAAAAATACTGGAGGTAGGAGCTCACGAGTTATGTTCAGGAGGATATCCGTCACGAAGGGAGGGGGGAAGGGGGTATCTCGGATTGAAATTTCACCTTGAAATTTCGGACCCTTTGGACAGCCCCCTGGACCCGCCGCTGATGTGTTTTGAAGAGTTTGATATTGAAGATACAGAGTTCAAGGGTAAAAACATTCATCTTTTGACAAATTCAAAGTAACGGCAAACTGTCCCATACAGTTAAAAATATGTTCATAACAACTGAAAAAATTTGCAGGCCAAGATCAAGTTGATTCGATTTTATTTTTTTACAATTTTCTCCTACTGGCGGGGATGTATTGTGTTCGCGAAAAATTTCGAAAATGAGGTTCTATATCTATATATCTACAGGGTGTAAACGTTATGATAGTCATTATTTAAATGCGTGATAGAGTGGGTAAAAGAAGCAAAAAGTTTCATATAACATGGGGATAAAAACGGCATTTTTTTACAGAAAAGCGCCTTTAAAGTACCCAGTTTCTTCTTACTCTAGGTCCTCGAAGCTGTCCATTTATTATTTCAGCCGCATTAAATTTTTTTTCGCGAAGTTGTGCTTCAGTTATTATTGGACCAGCCCCATAAACCATCCCTTTAAGTTCTTCCCAATACGAGAAATCCATCGGATTGAGGTCAGGAGATCTTGCTGGCCAGTGTCGAGGATCAGGAGTATTTCGACCGATCCAGCGATTTGGATAATGTTCATTCAAATACTGAATGACGCCTCTAAAAATGTGTGGTGGTGCCCCGTCATGAAGAAACCACAAATTCTGTCTGCGTTGTAATGGTATGTTGTCTAAGGTCTGTTCCAATAGTTCTGGTAGGTTATTGGCTAGAAAGGTATCCTTCTCCTGACATCTTTAGGGGTAACTCGAAAGGGCCAATTACCTGATCGTCCAGAATACCCGCCCAAATATTTAAAACGTTGTTGGAAATGACTTTCAGGAACGGTATGAGGATTTTCTTGGGCCCACGTGTGAGTAATATGGAAATTTAATATCCCGTCTCGCGTAAAAGTACATTCGTCCGTCGCTAGAATGTTCTTAAAAAAATCCGAATTTTCAATGTTTTTGTGCAAAAACCACTGACAGAATGTTAGTCTGCGAGGATAGTCTTCTGGTAACAAGGCCTGCACTCGTCGTACATGGTAGGGACAACGCAAATTTTCCCGTAGGATTCTATGGACTATGGTATGCGATAGTCATACGCGGCGGCCTAATTTCCGAGTACTGATATCTGCATTGATTTCCACGATATTTAAAATTTGTCCCTCCTGCTCTACAGTAACCTGTCTTTCACGAGTGCGAATATTAGTGGGCTCAACACTAGATTTGAATTCTGACGAGCTTCACCGTAATCTAACAACATGTCGGCGAGCTCTTGATTCGAGAACATTGTAAATAAACACGACGACGTACGCGAACAAAAACCAAACAACACGCCCGATGCCCGATAACTAACCACTGTTACCGTTTGCGATCGATTGCCGGTTCGATAGGAGTAATCAGAGGCCGACTCGCTGATGTCATAAATATTTAATTTAATGAAACTTACTTACTTACTTACTGACTACAAATTTTGGCTTAACTTAGAAAACTTAGTGCCATTTATTTGATAATTACCCAATTTAAAAACGTTTTAGATTAGATTATAAAAATTAGTAAGATTGTGGTGATTGTGGTCGATATAAAGCACTTAAAGTTATAAGCTATAAAGCCATTTAGCCAATATCTATTGACTTTTGGACCATGGGTTATACAAACTTTTGGACTTGTTATTACCCATTTGAATAATGACTACCATAACGTTTACACCCTGTATATCTATCGTAGATGCTTGCAGCAAAAAAGAATCTCATTGAAACGGCCAAGAGAAAAACCTGGAAAATATTTTAAAGTTTCTGAAATGGACGATAGGGGGCGTATCTGCAATCTTGAATCTAAAATTGTTAACATTTTTTGTTTGACAATTTAAAAATAATGTGGTGAGGAGTATTCAAAGGCTTATGTAAAAATCTCCCTGTATCTTCGAAACGGCTGGGCCACTTTTAACAAACTTGGGCTAGCTGAAAAGAACTATTCTTGGGCTACAAATATTAAAATATACTAAGTGGCATATAAATCCGAATACCCTGTTTAAATGGTTTTATTTTAATAAAATTTTGTATAAATACTTAATGAAGCATAATAAGTAAATGATAAAAATTTCAAAATGATTGCACTGCTTTAAAGCCCTTTGACCTTTAATAATGTGTGAATGCACCATGATGTGCTACGCATTCTCCAACGCGCCTAGGCATGCTTCTGATCAGGTGGTCAATATCCTCCTGTGGTATCTCATTCCAGGCAACCACCAACTCCTCTCGAAGTGCTTCTAGAGTCTGAGGAGGACGTTGCAAATTGAGCAATCTCCTACCCATCATATCCCACACGTGCACAATTGGGGATAAGTCGGGAGATCTTGGTGGCCATGGTAACAATGTGACATCATTATGTTGAAAGGAGTCTATTGTGACTCTTGCAACATGTGGTCGGGCATTATCTTGTTGGAAAGTTGGATCTGCCAGGGTGTCAAGATAGGGTAAAAGATGGGGTTCTAGAACTTCGTGGATATAACGCTGCGCGTTCATGTTACCTCTGATGAAGATTAAAGGTGACCTGGAACCATAAGCTATAGCACCCCAAACCATAACTCCAACAGTGTGATGAACATGTCTTTCAACAAAAAACTGTGGATTCCTCCTTTCACCACATCGCCTTCTAACCCTGGCACGACCATCGTGCATGCCTAAACAAAATCGAGACTCGTCACTAAAGACAATACTGTTCCATTCCTGATCCCAGAGTGACCCTTGTCTGCACCACTCAAGGCGATTACGTCGGTCTTCTCGAGTTAAAGGGAGGACCCAGTGTGGCCGGTATGAAAACAAGCCAAAACTTCTCATTCGTCGGTAAACACTTCGCATGCCAATAGGTCTTCCGTGTTCTGCAAACCATTCATTTGCAATGGACCTGGTAGTAGAGAAACGGTCCCTTAAGGCCAATAATCTTAGGCGGCGATCTTCACGGTCTGTTTTTCTACGGCGGTGTCCAGTGCCCTTTGCTCTTTGCGTACGGCCTTCTCGAAGCCATGCCTGACAACACCTAACCACAGTGTCTACACTTCTTTGCACTCTAACTGCAATTGCCCGAAAAGAAAGTCCAGCTTCCCGAAGTCCCACTATACGGCCCCTATCAAACTCACTAAGTTGACGAAATCGTACAGGTCTCCGTACTCTAGGCATCGTAACCGATCGTAAAGGATGTCAAGAACCAAAATCCGCCAACGTTGATTCTTTACTGCGGCTGAAATATTCACTTTTAGAGCGTTAGTGAATTAAAAAAAAGCAGTATAAAAACCGGAATGTCCAACTGATAAGGCTGAACATTTTTTCACTTGTCATTTACAGTAAGATAAATACATTCACCAACTTTTATTAAAATAAAACCATTTAAACTGGGTGTTCGGATTTATATGTCACTTAGTATATATAAAGTTTTGCTAGTTTCACATGTCGCCGTTAGAGAACTTTTTTGACATTTCGAAAGAAATGGTTAATTTTCTCAAAAAAGTTAAATGTATTTTTGAAGAAAAAGTAGCTAAATTGTGTCTAAACAAGCTCCCGAAAACCTCATATCGATGTCTTCTCCCTAACCTAAAATTTAGGCCAAAGAAAATTTTATACGGAGATCCCTTAGATTTTTCTTTTTTTAAACTAATTTTTCTGGAATTTCTTTTAATTATTAAGTTGTGGTTCTCATAAGGACCGGTTTAAAAAAGAAAGGTTTTTAATGCCTCCGTAAATGCTCGAAATGCATACAGATACTATAACTCCTATTCTTATTAACCTGAGAAGTACCGGTCGGATTTTCATGAATTTTCCAGATACTATGCCAAGAACGGAAAAGCTCTGTAATTTCTGAAGGGCCCAGAAGCAGCGAAGAAATAGGCCAAAACAAAAAACAAAAAAAATAATGAAAATCGTTCAAACATCGTTTTCGTTTTCGAAAAATTTTTGTAGGGGTTAAAAATTCGGTGTGATATGGGTTGCGGGAAAATTTTTTTTAACGTTGGCATATCTATACTTATGTACAGGGTGTTTCAGTTTATTGTTGCATAACTTTAAGTTTCGATAGAACTTTTAAAATTAATGCATAAAGTCTATATAAACATGGTTCGAAAAATGCGTGGCCTCCGAAACAACATAAAAAAGCTGTCCTGTGAGTTTTCGTTATACTTAGCCGTTT